AGAGTTCAGTAATCCCTGAAAGACTATTTGAGAGAGGGTGGGGTGGGGTGGGGTGGGGGGGGGCGGCAATCTGGTAAAAGGGGCCTGATTGATATTGGATTTTTATCAGTTGAACGACTCCAGGTTTGGCACAGTTTACTGATCAGTAGCTCCAATGTTACTTGGCAACCGGTGATCTTTCCCATGATGCACCTGTTGCCCAGTCAAGTTGTGTCATGTTTTTTTGGGGAGGAGTCTCACTAGTGAGTTAACTAAGGATAAGGTGTGGAGAAATGGCAACAGAGAACAGGTGGGCCCAACTTCTGTACAGTCATATCATAATTCTCAACTCAAACCCCCCTTTCCCAGTTTATAAGAAAAGGTTGTGAAGGTTGTATTGATACTGAAACCAATTTTCCTTAAAAACAGAAGAAGTTGAACATGTAATTAGTTGGTGTTACATGTAATTGGTATTTCCTATCAGCTTTCAATTAAGTCTGGGTCGCTATTTCTTTTTATTTATATCTCCAAGAGCCTAATTGACTTCACGCTTTAGTTCAATTAGGTATAGGTGGTGATCAAGGGGTTCCTTGGGGGGAAATCCAACCCTTTTTAAAGACTGCAGTGTTGGAAAAATAATAACTGAAAAAAATGGTGTTTTGTTTCATCTAATTAACTTTGTTGAAAAGATGGTAATTTCCAGTCTTGTAATGGACATCAATAATTTTCAACAAACAGTTTATATATATACTATAGACTGTAGGACACAAACAGTTTATATATATATACTTTAGACTGTAGGACACAAACAGTTTATTTATATACTTTAGACTGTATAGGACACACAGTTTACATATATATACTCTAGACTGTATAGGACACAAACAGCTTATATATATATACTCTAGACTGTATAGGACACAAACAGTTTATATATATATTCTATAGACTGTAGGACACACACAGTTTATATATATATATGCGCTAGACTGTAGGACACAAACAGTTTTTATATATATACTATAGACTGTAGGACACAAACAGTTTTTATATATATACTATAGACTGTATGACACACACAGTTTATATATATATACTCTAGCCTGTATAGGACACAAACAGTTTATATATATATGCTCTAGACTGGATAGAACCCAAACAGTTTATATATATATACTTTAGACTGTAGGACACAAACAGTTTATTTATATACTTTAGACTGTATAGGATACACAGTTTACATATATATACTCTAGACTGTATAGGGCACAAACACTTTATATATATATATTCTAGACTCTATATAGCACACAAAGTTTATATATATATATACTATAGACTGGAGGACACACACAGTTTATATATATATATAATCTAGACTGTAGGACACAAACATTTTATATATATATTCTCTAGACAGTATAGGACTCAAACAGTTTATATATATACTATAGACTGCAGGACACAAACAGTTTATATATATACTATAGACTGTATGACACACACAGTTTATATATATATATTCTCTACTGTGTATAGCACACACAGAGTATATATATATATACTCTAGACTGTATAGGACACAAGCAGGATTTGAGGGAGTGTCTATGTACTGTTGATCAAGATAAGACAAGGGCAGGCTAATCAAACCATCAATTAGCAATAGTTAGCTCATCAAAGTTTCATCCACTCACCAAAACTACATACACAGCACTGCTGTGAGTCTATGGGTCAGATCCAGGGGGTTTCACACAACTTCCCCGACCACCTATATACCCAAATCTTTGTCCCGTTTTGTACAAATTGATTTCTTATTCAATTAGGAATCTCCAATCCCAAGTCTAAACCTGAGCCCATCCCCCTGATCAGAGCTTTACTGGTTATCCCTTTTTTTAATTTTTTTTTAATTTTTTTTTGGACTGTAAAGAGTCCTACTCCTGGAATTTCGTAACTTATTTATAATCTACCATCAAAGTAACTACTGAAGTTATGCTAAAATGTTCAAGGCATGTGATAGCATACAGGATTTTACCAGAGCCTTAGATAAAGTCCGAGATTTCTATACTTTACTTGTTTAACCAATTTCAATAACAACTCCAAAGCTCCACCAGTATTTCGACGTTAATATTAGGAGGACATTATTGTAGCATATTTCCATACGTAATGTAATTTTCTGAGTAATGTCTATCTCACTCAGAAGCTTTGTCAATATTACAACAAAAACATGCCGTAACACATCGAAACAATAAACTATCTGCTCGGTGAGATGTACTTTGTGCTGTGAGATGTTCAGAACGAGATTTGGAGGACAATGATAAGCTAAGTAAGTTAAATAAGGAGAAGAGATTAATTCAGAATTTTAAAACAAACAAAAACTGAGTAAATACAGTAAACAGACCAAAAACCTATAGACGGAATGAAGCCTAACGGTTTTGATAATACACCTAGGCTTCTGCGACATCAATATAAATATTTGTTTATTCCATTTTCGTCAACACATGTTTTTCACCACGATGTATTACGCAGTTTCAAGTCTATGTATATCCTGGCACAAACAATTTTTGCTATGGACTATTATACAGCGTAATTACCTATACAATCAATGGTGTATACAGTTAATTACGGTATCATTTATCACTATTAGTTAATTATATATCAAAACATGGTATTGATTGTGTTTTCGCTACTAATTATCATGATGATGATGAGAACCTGATATTTATTTAGAGATTATAAGTACATTGTATATATGGGTAGGAATACAAAAACATTAGCCTGAGTAAAAATGCATGAAAAGCAAATACAACCTGCTTATCTGTAAGTGTAATCTGTAATATATCTGAAAATATGTCTTAATGATGAAATATTTTTCAGATATTGTTCAAACTAATGAAACTGTAAAACTATGCCCATAAAAAGGTAGAAGGTCAAGGACGGTAGTTAACAGAAAAACCGTGATTAAATGTTTTACTTAGAAAAAGTTTTGAGTATAAAACAGATTTCTCAACTTCAGACCTGCTAACCTTTAATTCTCCCAATGGGGGTCATGACCCCCATTGGGAAATTCTGTGGGGGGTGATAACGCGCAAACGAAAATTTGTGTGGAAATTTAATAATTTTGCAGGGTCTCGGCTTTACGGCGTATTATGTTTTGTCTTCTGGCAAGATCAATGACTTTTTTGAAATTAACAAAACATTTTATCACACCTTCATTGTTTTATTACATATTCTTAATCAATATACATGTTTTTCTTTTCCTAGGTGCATACTGAAAGCATGAACCATGTTGATTTAGTTTTGCACATAACAAAGCACATATTGTATCATTTCCTAATTCAGATCTCCCTTCTGTCTGGATCTTCTTCAACATGGAAAATGTTCTCTCAGAGTCAGCATTACTCACTGAAAGTACCAAACATGCCTTCATTAGCCTACACAACACACCAAACCTAAGATCATTCTCAAAGGGTTCTTTAACTGCATGCCTTTTGATATCGTACGTAGCACCCGAAGCTACCGAAAAATGATTGGTACACAGTTTACAATAGGCATGATCGGGTCCAATATTACTCTTCTGAAGCCAGTCATAATCTTATTCCCACGAAGCATTGTAATTACAGGCATACTTTTTCTTTTTTGACGATGAACACTAAAATAACGAACGTTTTCTCGGGTTAGAAGCCATTTGTGAAAGTGAAATGACAAGCGCTACGATCGGGATTATATGCATTGTAGTAACAGTGAACAGTACTCACCTTTTGAATTTGCCAGGCTGGTTCCGAAACAGGGACGCCATTGTGAAAACAAATCACTTAGCATACAGACTTTACCTATAACTGAAACCTAAACTTCCGAGAGACACGAACGAAACATTTCCGGAAGTACGGAGATCCTAATAAAAGACGCGGATGCGGGAGATACGTATGACCCGCGCGGGTCATAAGATCGTCGCGGGTGATAGGTTCATTTTGCGGGTGTGACCCGCAGAATGCGGGTCATTTAGCAGGTATGCAACTTATTCAGGTTAGCGACCAGAATTACCTAACTCTTGTTCATTTTCAAAAGTTGAGGAATGTTTACTTCATATAAAGAAAAGTGATGATCAATTATTTTGTCTTTCAAAGTAGATTAATAAAAGAAACAAACATAGTAAGCTGGAAAAAAAATCCTTCAATTAAAATCATGAAAACAGTTTCAGAATGTAACATAGCTGTCATTTAAGGTAATAGGATTGTGTCGCCATTTCTCAGTAGAATTTCTTCTAATTTTATAGTTATATTGCTATGAAGTAAAGAAAATTTTCTGCCACAAAAAAAATATAGGTTGTCAGAATTTTAAGGAGTTTAAATGGAAATTTATGTAAAAAGGAGTGAATTTTGTAAAAAAAAATGAAACACACAATTTTTTGCAATATTATTTCAATAAACATGATACTGACATAGATTAGTATAGATTAGTATTGCATTAATATATATATCAATTTCATAAATATTGAAATTGTGTAAAATGAATTATCTATAAACGATTAAAAATTGACATTTTATAAATAAACCTTATACACATAGTAATTGTATGAAAGAGTTATCGTTCTTGAAAAACTTTACAGTAGTGAAATAGGTAGCCGGTTTTCTGAAGTACAGAAAAATGGACACATGTGACTCATTGATTAAAAAACAACTGAATTAATGCCTAGATTGCTTTGAAATACTTTATATTGAAAGAACATACTGTTCTGTCAATAATAAACATACAATATTCATCAGTTTAATATTAAACATTAGAATATGCGGAGATTGTGATACTGTCTCCCTATATTGGGTTTTCAACTAGGCATGTACTTCCTATTTCCGTTTAGCAATACACTCCTATGACCTTAAACAATCAATAGAGTAGGTTGTCAAATTCTTACTTCGCACATAAAGGTTGGCTGCAAACGAATACGTCACTCCAATTTGATTTTCAGCAACACATTCATACTTCCCAGCATCCGACTCTTGACTTCTTTCAATAAACAGAGTACCTAGGGGGGAACAAAGAAAAACTTGTCAAGACAGCAAGAGTTGTCTTTCCCTCACACAGAACTGCTGAAGTTATACACGGAGGACATGTCACAGTGGAAGGGAAATAACTCTTCAACCCAACATATTTTAAATTGCTGCTTGCATAGCAATGTGTAACAGAGCAGGACATCAGTACCTGACCATGTAAGGCATGGTTTATTAAACCCTATTTAAATAAAATTCTGAAGTGTAATTTCAAGATTTTTTTTAAAAGGGGATATCTGTAGCTGGTATAGAGACATCACAAGATATACCTGGTAGGTGACATTTGTGAAGGTTATTTGACCTGATACTAACGAGGGAATACCTGGTAGACAGTATATTTGTGTAGGTATAACTGGTAGGTGATATTTGTGTAGGTATAACTGGTAGGTGATATTTGTGAAGGTTATTTGACCTGATACTAACGAGGGAATACTTGGTAGACAGTATATTTGTGTAGGTATAACTGGTAGGTGATATTTGTGTAGGTATAACTGGTAGGTGATATTTGTGAAGGTATATCTGATGGGTAATTTTATTGAAGATATAATACCTGTGGGCTGTATGGATATTCTAGGATCACTCATATCAACTGGAATGTAGTCTTTGATCCAGAAAATGTGTGGTCGGCCCATTTCTTCTGCATTTCGTGCGATCGCCTCACACTGCATCTTCACTTGGCGATCCTTTTCCACGGCCTTTAACTCAGGGTTAACTGTGATGCTGGGGTAACCATTTGGTATCCCTACAATGACAAAACAGGGGAAACAACTCATGAGTATCCAAATGATAACACAGTCAAACATGTGAAAATAACATACCTCAAAAAATAGCTGCTTATTCTGGTGATATTTCTAAATGCAAAGAAAATATTTAACATTGGAATTTAAAACAGTTTTTTTTTGAGTGAAAGAAATGTTATAGGTGTGAGTCTGCCAAACAGTATAAGAGACTATATTGCAAGAGAGGTAACTCTTGCTGCTAAAATTTCTGTTCAATCTCCTGTTGCCTACAATCTTACTGAGGGTGTACAGATATGACGATAGCCTACGTGGTACATAAGATAGAATTTTGTTCCATTGTAGTTTTTGTTTCAATCTGTAAAATACAATGGCATCTGAAATCTTCCCTGGACTGCCTGGCATTCCTGAAGATTTATGTTTTTCTTCTTACAATAGAGCAGCACAAAGTTATGTCCAGAATTGTAATTATAATTTTATTTAAAAAACCTTTATCAAAATGGTCATCCATATACTGCATCGATTCAAATATTCAAAGATATCCACGTATTACCAAGACAGTTTGGTTTTCATGTAAACAAATTTACTACAGGGCACACATCTGGAGGTTTATATACCAAATTAATGGTTGAAATGATTACTTTAAAGGTTTGCTACAAGATAACCTAAGATAACTTTTATTTATAATAACAGAGAATTAACAAATTCGGGGTCTGTGAGACAGGCTTCAGAAAACAATGAGTTACATGTATGTTACAGTTCATCAACTTTATTTATATACAATTTTCTCAGATAAAACAATGATCTTACTCTATGGTACTATTTCATACATAAATACAACAGTATAATCATAGCCATATGTTCTGATTTAACGTGTCTGTTTACCTGATTAGCCGTGACGACCTGAGATGTAATTTCTATTTCTGATACAAAACAATATCATAAACAACAAAAAACATAAGACAGTTGTATAAAACAATCATATAAATCAATGTGTCACGACAGCAGATTAAAATGAATTTCTTGTTTATTTCTTCAGCAGAGCAATTAATTGTAAATACATATATTTAAATTATTCTTACATCAATTTCTAATAACGGCTGCCTGACATTGTAATAGGCTCAATGTCATGTTAAATATCTCTTGAAAATGCAAACATGAACATGCCCAAGGCAATTATAGAAATTACATCATTTTTCAGAATTTTCTTATGACAGGGAAGTTATCATTAAATTAAAATTATCAATTTATTCTGCTCCATGACTAATAACAACCTGATTATCCAATCAGGACAGACTTACTCATGTATAAGTTATTTACCTGACCAATCAAAATAAAATTATCCTGGTTTTAGAAAAAAAAATGGAAAGTTTTATACACAAGATGTAAGTTAACACACAGGTGACATCAATAATCAAACCACTTACAACCTGTTCATCATTGATAATTAATATAGATTTTAGATAGAATCAATTACTTTTCAAAGTCTTCCTGAAACTGACATACAGTTCTTTGCAGTAGAAATTTATTTGTAGATAATAATTGTTTTCTGGCTGGAACCTGTATCATTTAAATACTTAAACTTAAAGATCTTGACTAACTTTATAATCAAAATATTATTTCAAGTATCCAAATTGGATATCTACAAAAAAGAGGTAAATATTTCAGACTGTCTATAACATCTACAGAAATAAAACCTCACCACAGGAGATTTACACTTATAATACAATGACAATGTCCCTTCATATCCTACCCTAAAATCTTGCTAAGAAGCCTTGGCATATTTTCATTTTCAGTAAGAATTCCACACTTATTATTTGAAGCCAGTCTATTTCAAAGGCCGTCTTATTTTCTATGTCATTCAGACAGTAAGCCATCAATTGCTTACTTTCAAGTCCTTCCTTTTTTTGCACAAAATGTTATACTTTTTTTTAATGTAACCTTTTTCTTTTTAATCAAATTGTTGCAATAAAGTATCAGGTAAAGTGCTATTTGTAGTAAAACCTGTTAAGGCTGACAGCAAAAATGAAGCTCACATCTTGAATCCAAAGTATATTTTCAAGGCTGGACTAATTTCAAATAAGGCTTATTTTCGAGACATTTTCCACTGCTTGGAATACCAGACTTATGTTCAAATTTGGCTTTTTATCAACATTTTAGAGTATTTCTGATATTGTATTAAATATACCTAAATCACATTTTTTTCTCAATTCTTCATCAAAGTATAAAATAATACAGGTTTTGTTCCAAATTTTTATGTAAACATGTACGTAAAACATGTTGGGGAATTAAGTTAGAAACAGAAAGTCAAGGTTGGAGTAAGTCACATGCAATAGCAGAAAATAAATGGAGACATTTTGAATTTATTTCAGGAAGACAAAGAAAACTGTGCTCGGATATAAGTAATTATAAATAAGTGCACATTAAATATCATAATCAGTTGTAAATGTTTACTTAAATATCATAAGGTGACGTTAGACAGAAATTGATAAAATAATAAATGTTAAATTTACCTCATTAATAACATTTTTAATATTTTCTTCAATCAATTGATTATGATTTAATTAATTTTAATTAATATACATCAAATTTTAAATATAAAATATGTAAAGTCATGATGCAGAGGATGAGGTTGATAAGTATGTTTGATACAAGATGCAAGAATAAGGTACGCAAGGATAACGCAGGGGTTTGTTGGGGTTCAATCTGTAACATTTTGAAGGTATGCATGGTACAAATAAATGGGGATGGGGAAATGCGGGCGCAAGCAGAAATATGTATATTGTATATATAATGTATATATATAGATATACAGGTGAAACACCATACAGAGGAGTAATAATAATATTGACTAAAATGTGGCAGAAGAGTAGTACAAAAGGGGGATAACTCTGATGGCTGCGGGCAGGTGTGCAACTTTGATTTGTCAACCAATCGAGCAGGGTTGGTAAGGCGCAGCAGCAAACGCTTATAACGGTCATTTCAAGGTCATACTGGTACAGTTTAGTACATGACAACCAAAACAGAATAAAACATATGTTTATCTATACAACATCAATGTAAGTATGGGGGAGGATCATGTCAAACAGAACGCCAATATAGAAATGCAGCACAAAATCTACGTCACACACACACTCCTGATCAGTTTTCTATTGACTACAGTATTAACTATGAATAATCTGATGTACTGTCAGTAACCTGTATGTACTGTAAGTAGTCTGTATATACTGTCAGTAGTCTGTATGTACTGTAAATAGTCTGTATGTACTGTCAGTAGTCTGTATGTACTGTCAGTAGTCTGTATATACTGTCAGTAGTCTGTATATACTGTCAGTAGTCTGTATGTACTGTCAGTAGTCTGTATGTACTGTCAGTCGTCTGTATGTACTGTCAGTAGTCTGTATGTACTGTCAGTAGTCTGTATGTACTGTCAGTAGTCTGTATATACTGTCAGTAGTCTGTATATACTGTCAGTAGTCTGTATGTACTGTCAGTAGTCTGTATGTACTGTCAGTCGTCTGTATATACTTTCAGTAGTCTGTATGTACTGTCAGTAGTCTGTATGTACTGTCAATAGTCTGTATATACTGTCAATTGTCCATATGTACTGTCAATAGTCTGTATGTACTGTCAGTAGTCTGTATGTACTGTCAATAGTCTGTGTATACTGTCAGTAGTCTGTATGTACTGTAAATAGTCTGTATGTACTGTCAGTAGTCTGTATGTACTGTCAATAGTCTGTATGTACTGTCAATAGTCTGTATGAACCACAGTAGTCTGTATGTACAATCAGTAGTCTGTATGTACTGGCAGTAGTCTGTATATACTGTCAGTAGTCTGTATGTACTGTCAGTAGTCTGTATAGACTGTCAGTAGTCTACAGGTATGCCAGTCATCTCAGTTGAGGTATCTACCTTAACTATCAGAAATTTATTCCACTGAACTTCACTACAGAAAACACACAATTTTTATGTTCTTGAAAAGGAAAGTCTGTCTATATATTCACTTCACACCAAAATAACAGCAGAAATAAGTCAAATTTACTTCACTGACAACCCTCTAATCACTTCTTTGTATTTACTTTACTTTCTGAAACCTGTAATTCTTACTGTATTCTGTCATACACTACACATGACATCCGATACTTGTATAAAGAGTTATACTCCTTCAAATATTAAAATTATCAAAATTAAATTATTTTTTGTGACATGATGTATCCTGATGCATCCTGAAAAGTGACATCAATTAATTAACTAAGTCCTAATTACCATTTATTTATTACATTTGTTTCTTTTTACGAACTCTTTTGGAGATGCTGATAAGTGATGTACCTGGTAACCGTACGGCATTCTGGACCGATTGGTTTTTAGCCATATTTAGACATTGCATTAACAATGAAAATATCTTCGGAAACAAAAAACCCAGTAACCAACAGGTGTGAACGAAGCTGGACCTACATTCTGTACCAACTAAGAAGTGTTTTCCTTAATCCTACATTTAAGAATTAAATTAAAAAAAGTACCGTCTACATTTAACCCTGGTTATTGTAAGGACTTTAAACACAATTAAAAGTAATTAAGAAGCACTCTCTTTTTTGTACCGACGTATTATTTGCATTGAGTTATGCACATGTTTAAAATCGAGGTTTTATTCTACGATACAGTTTTCAGATCGTAGGTAATTTATTCTAATTCAATAAGGCTGTGACAACGATTACATCAAGAAAATTAATTGGACATTTAGATTAATCATGATAAAAAAACATACTACATATTAAAAGTACATTGACACCAAATCTTTAAAGTACATTTACACCAAATCTTTAAAGTTCATTTACACTAATTCTGAACAGCTCACAGATATAAGTGTTGAATTATTATAAACGGTTTGAATTCTGACCCCCCATGACCAGTGAAGCAAATTTGACTATAAATTATATTTGTTTGGTATATCACTCAAACTCATTAGATGATGTCGTTAATAGAAGTTGAAATTGAGTCTAGCAGTCAGTGTCTATGTTACCATGGTTACCTTTGTATATTTTTTTCCATTGTGGGTTAATACCTGTGAAAGGGGTCAAAGGTCAAATTGAATTCCAAAACAAAACAGAGAAAATTTACAGTATAGATTTCTCAACAAAAACACTGACAATTATCTCAACAGATACAGTGTTGTTAGATCATCAATTTATGTTGGATTTCTGTAGGTAAATTAGTCCATTAATTAAGTTCAGTAACTGGCTATCATTGAAGGAATATTTAATTTTGCATCAAAAACCTTTCATTCAAACAACACAAGTGCAGAGAAGACATGATGTTTTTTTGGGTGAATTTTGTGATATCAAAAAAAGGATGGTCTTTGTATTTATAATAGAGAAGAGCATGGACTTTGTATCACTAATAGATGATGGACTTTGTATCACTAATAGAGAAAAGAATGGACTTGTATCACTAATAGAGAAAAGAATGGACTTGTATCACTAATAGAGAAAAGAATGGACTTGTATCACTAATAGAGAAAAGAATGGACTTGTATCACTAATAGAGAAAAGAATGGACTTGTATCACTAATAGAGAAAAGAATGGACTTGTATCACTAATAGAGAAAAGAATGGACTTGTATCACTAATAGAGAAAAGAATGGACTTGTATCACTAATAGAGAAAAGAATGGACTTGTATCACTAATAGAGAAAAGAATGGACTTGTATCACTAATAGAGAAAAGAATGGACTTGTATCACTAATAGAGAAAAGAATGGACTTGTATCACTAATAGAGAAAAGAATGGACTTGTATCACTAAAAGAGAAGAGGAGTGATTTTATACTTGTTAATTAACTTATTAATCAATTGTTAATTGCACAAGTTGTCATTAATGGCAGGCAAAACTCAAACAGTTAGTTTCGATACAGGCAACACACACTGATCAAAGGGGCATAACTCCAACATCCCAGATACATAAAGGTCCAACACATGAAAATGCAGGACACATCGACTAATGTTCAAAATCATTATCTTGTATTTTAGAAATATATGCATATATCATAAACAATGACTTATGAAAGAATATTTTTCTCTGTCTAAAATCCCATGAGATAAACACTATATACATACAAACAAGTTTTAGCAGGGGGACAAAATGTTATCAGCAATTTCACAAGCATTATATAAATTTACTTCCTAATAAAAGACTTTAACAAACTAATAACAAAGACATTCACAAATTTAATAACAGCTCCTGTTTGGAGATTTGCTGTTGCGTATATTTTCCTGAATGAAAAATAAGATAAATGTAGTGTACACAGGGAGATACAGTAGTGGGATATGTGATCTTGTGAAACAGAATACTCCCAGGAATTAGAATACCCCAAGGAAACAGAATACCCCGGAATCTGACAGCCCTAGTCTCTATGTACACTCGACCCTAATCAGGGACATAATTTGTCACAGTTTTTGCTTCACGTAACATAATACAACGATACTCAGAGGCCGTCCTCGAAAATTAGAATTCCTATTCAATGTATGTACCCAGCCTCGTCCCATTCTGTCCACTCCCGAAATACCGCACACCCCGACAGATATATAATTTGAATGGAAAACTGAACAGAAACTAGGTCAACTCCTTCTCATACAGGTCTTTCCATAGCCTGAGGCCACAGACTTTTAAAATTTCATTCATGATATCTTCACAGTCAGTTGATCTGTTATATTACACTCCCTTCAAAAACGATACGTCTGGAAAATTACCTTTCTTTACAACTTAGCAGGAAAATTGCCTTTCTATCTAAAACTAGATCAGACACAATTTTCATTTACAATATAACAGTCAATTTTGACAAATATGTGAAAATGAAATTGACGATAAAAACCTTTTATATACCATAAATTGTAGACTACCAACCAATGAAAATATTACCTGGTAAAAATGTCCTAAATTGAGATAGGGGTCTTAAATCTGTACTCTCACATACAGTTAAAGAATTACCTACAGCTGAAACATGGCGGGCAAACTGATTTAGATAATTTTTATGTAAAATCCTTAGCAGAAGGTATTAAGATAAGCTTCCCTCCAGAATATTGATTAACAGAAAATAATGAAAGGTACACATATCCATACAGTTCTTTGTATTCCAGATTTTTTTTTTTTCAAACTTGAAAATCCTCTTTTGAAAATTGTATACATATAGCGTTTACTTGACACAAGATCGATGTTGGCTTCGATCAGATTTATATAACAGAGGATGGCCTTGTCTATCAAAACTATCCGAGCTTGAAAAGATATGGTGGATTTGAAACCGGGGAAAAAAAACGTTAGTGTGAAATGTATCTAGCTAAGATGTTGTGACTGTTCATGATGAAATAAAGTTTAATATCCCTTGAAGATGAAATCTTTGATTATACAACCCGTTTTATAGGTGACACATGACAAATGATAACATGTTGTTCTGTGGGAATTCGTCACAAACATGAAAACTGTTGTTTGATCACTTGATGGTTTGTAAGCATGACTCCTGAGCTGTTCCTCCCTAACCCAGAGGGCTATAAGGGATCATATCCCTCGTGTGAAATGTCATAATGTTTAGATAATATCCAGAAAACCAAGTCCCAAAATGTTTATACGACGGAAGCAGTAAGCTGAACAGGAAAAGAACAGCAACACTTCCTAAGGTGGTCACATCTTGTTAATAGTAATCAAACAAAACATTCAAAGATAAAAATCTCGTAAAAAGATTGCATCATATAAATGAACTGAAAACATCTGTTGGTGATAACATTAATCCACATACAGTAATTGACACAATAAACGTACCAGGTGATCCAAATAAGGCGTGGGGACTCATATATATATATGTTTAAGGAATTTCTTAAAATTTTGAAATCAGAAACGATTGTGAGGCTGTAAAGTTGATACAGGTGTGAACACACAGGTATGACATTAAGGGGTATTATGGCCAGAAGTGTTTATTAGGATAACTTTGACATTATATTGAGGGGTTTTATGGCCAGAAGTGTTTATTAGGATAACGTTGACATTATATTAGGGGTTTTATGGCCAGAAGTGTTTATTAGGATAAGTTTGACATTATATTAAGGGGTATTATGGCCAGAAGTGTTTATTAGGATAACTTTGACATTATATTACGACTACCAACTGTTTCAGTATTTATGTAGGCCTGCAGCTGTTCCTACATCAGCTGGCGGAGTTTCTGGTTGTTATAACATCTACACGAGTCTATCTATGATAATTGGAACAAAAAATACTTTTTATTCAAAACATTTTTTTTTCACAAGGTCGTTGTCAGTCGTCTTCCTCAAATGGCAATTTGAGATGAACAAGACAGTGTTTTTTGTATCAAACCTGAGGAAACACTTTCATGTGTCACCTGCGAGGATGTCGTGTCACTAGGACAGGTAGTTACCACAAGTCTACATGTTTGTGGTTAAAAAGAAATAGCAAGTTTTGTTTGTGATACGTGAATAAACTTTTGATACACAGACCTGTCAACAGTAAAGACAAATTAAATCAGTATATACTTGAATCACTTTTATTAATTCTCCAACTAAAAGCGAAAAAAAATATTAAAAAAATTAAGTCTTAACAGAAAGGTTTTACTGTCAGACTTAAAAGTAAAAAATATCATACTTTATTTAATATTTTCAAAGATGACATTTTACAGGTCGTTTTGTTTGTCTGGCACTGTTTTACCTATGGTGATACAAGCTTACTTGATGGGCTGATCCACTACAATAATCGTTAAGGTATTGATATCACACAATTTTAGTTCTATCTGTGGGCTAGGTTCACTCCCACTATCCACCAGTACCCGATAACCCCACCCCGACTATGTCAACAATGAGAACGTCTCCACAAAAGTCCAACCACCAAGTTGTCTTACAAAAAGACAAACCTAGACATCACATAATTTCATTTATGTTTCCATTCTAGTTTCTATTTTTTAAATTTATGACTCCACCTAGTAACACAACAAAATATATGGTACGAATGGCCATGCTTATAGGGAAACCAATGTGTCAGGTTTCAATGTGTGACATAGGAAGTCTGAATGTGGAGTAAAAACTAAAGATTCCCAGCTGTATTACACAACCCACTGGCGCTGCACGACTGGTCCTTATTATCTACGGGCAGACATCGAGCTGCCAATACTATATATGGAACTTTCTTATTGAAATATGTTTGTAGTCTAACCTATTTGTACTTTAAGCCATATGTCAGTTGGACGGTTCTCTTTATTTCAAGAGATCTAATTAAAAAGTAATTAAATCAAATTTAAAATTTTGAAGTTTTTTAAGTTGATTTTGAAATCTAATCTTGTAGAAAATCCATTGCATGCTAGACAAGAGTAACCTCCCTTCCACACATAATGGTAACATTTTTGTGGTTTGGATAAAAGACCTCGACACAAAAAATAGCAGTGTAGTTACAATGTGGGCTGTCTACACGTTCCTGTTTTTTGGCTCAACAGCCAAATACAATTCACTAACAAACAAAGCACTTTTCAGGAGATTTGTAAAAATACATCCTGACTATTTCTATTGAAAGGTGTTCTAAGAGTTGGATATCTGTTACCAGATTAACTGTAGAAAATGTCCACACGAGACCGTCTGAGATTCAAATTTCTCCTTTAGTAGGGCCTATACTGTACTTCAAAACTAATCTATTTTTATTCTTAAACTGGTTTTTATAGCATGTTTATCACTTTTGGTGGAAATTCCACGACAACCAATTACCAAATCTAGAAGGTCCTCAAATTCCTTTCAGGGTCCTCAACCAAACTTTGTAGCCCATTATAATATCACTTATTACTTTATTTCTAGATGAAAGTCAACCAGTTACAAAAATATTATCCCCTGAAGTCTTAAAAAACTGAACAAAAATATGTAGCTACCATACCCCTATGACAAGGTAAATCAAGCCCAAGTGTCTCAGTCTTACAGCACCCTTGGCTCCTCAAACAGACACAGCTAAACAAGAGTCCCAATAGACACTGTTCAGTTGTCCAATCTGTAAATATCTTTCAGGGAAGTGAAACCAAGAACGTAACC